TCCTGGCCTGGATATTTAAAGGTATATAGCTATGAATTAGTTACTGGATTACAGAACATAGGAAAGAAGAGAGGAAGAAAGATTTTATACAGAGCACTTACCATAATTTCAATAACATACAGGATATGCCAACACTGCTTGGTGCCAGGATCACTGGCTATGGGAGACTTAAGTGTTAACAAAACCTCAAAATGGAGGCCTATAGCTCTGGCTCAAGTTCTATGCTTGAATTCTACATCTGAAATTCAAATTACTCTGAGTAATGATAACATGAATGTTTTCCCAGTAAAGAGCTTTCAAGGAAAATATATGTATTTCTGTTTATAGGACTTGCTCCTCCTGCTTTCTCTGGGTGTCAGTGAAGGTTGATTATGGCATCTGTGAAAGGAAATTTCTCAGACATAGTCTCACCATGCATATATTAAGATGATGTTCCTCCCTTTGATAAAAGAAGCAAAAAGATTTACAGATTTTTCCTGTGATAATTACTTTTTTTTTCCTTACAGTTTTGACTTTTTCTTAGTATTTCTCTTTTATTGGACACTAAGCTACATGATGATTGAGAACACATCAGTTGTCACTTGATTCTCTCTCACTCCTAAAGCAAAAACTCGATCATGTTAGCAGCATGGAGGGGCAGTTTTATTAGTGATGTCTGGCAAGTGTTTTAGTGCCACAGATATCTCTTACTGAGGCATCATGGCAAATTTTAAATGTCCTTATCCAAGGCATTTCTGAATCCTTTTCAAGAACAATTTCATGCCGCTGTGCAAGGCAAATGCTGTGACTGATTCTGCACAAGGAGAGAATGAGAGAACCTTCCCCACCAGTGACATGTTTTCACCAGTACTCATGAAGTGACCCAGGTCTGCAATGAGTGCATAGATGAGGCATCTGAGGAGATTTACCCATTTCCAGAAATCTAGCTCCTCTACCGCCCAACAGGGCAAGGGACAAGAGAGGCTATCACAACCATGTATCAATCTAGAGATTGTATTTACACAGGAAGTATCTTCTTGTCTTCTACAAAATACTAGCACCTCCTAGTGCTTTCAGGTTTAGATGGGTTGGGCAAGGTAAACCCTTGGTGGTGGGCAGCTGCACCTCCAAACTGATAAATAGTTTTTTGCTCCTTCCCATCTTCTCAAAATTCATCCTGAACGTGCAACTACTCATTTGCCTACGTCTGATAAAAAAAGTATTCTTTGTATTTTATCTCCTTGGACATGGTATTGTTCAATTTTAAAATAACCACAATCATATCTTCCCTTTGCAGATATCGGTACACCTCAGTAAATGTGCTTTATACTTTTAAAAGCAGGTGAACATCTCTTTCTTGTCACAGATATATTTAATATCAAAAATATGAAAAATCCATATGGATTAAATATTGATTTTATTTTTTAGAGAGCAAGTACAATGATGTTGCATTAAAATAATGCTATGTCATAGTTGTTACAACTCTGATAGAAAAATAAACATCTCAATATGCTACAGTGTAATTCATTAATAAATATCACAATAAAAGTTAGTAGTCAACTGAAATTAATAAAACAGCTATAAAAGTATACTATTTTAAATAATAAAATATTCAATATATTTCCAGATGAACAAAAGTAGTGATTTAAAAGCATCATTCAAAATGTAAAAGGAGCAGTAAGAAGTTATCAAATTTAAAACCTCTTCCCTTACTAAAATTCTCTATGCATAAAATCTAGACACACATTATTTATTTCTCTATATTTATTTTTTACAAAAGGTAGTATGTGTTAAATAGAAAGTTTAAGACTGTAGTATTATTAATAGCTGTCACACAATTGCTAAGTAAGACACTTTAAAGTAGCATTATTTTTGAAGCAATAGTAGGTAAGAGTGAAGATGCCAGCACAGTGAATTCATCCAACACTAATTCATCTGCAGAAGACTCATTTTTCAACATCTCCTTTCAAAATATAACTGAAACAGCCCAAATACAATATAGGTACCAGGATGAAATGTTAGAATTTTGACCGAAGTAATTATTTTAACAAATGCCACACACTTTAAGTTTTTTTTAATAGGTACCTTTTTTTAAAGCATGTTCAGAAAAGGAAACAAAGAGAACATGAAATTCAGACCAGCAGAAAGCTTAAGAATCTAGAAATGTAAGGTTTTTTCTTCCCCCCTCAACCCTTCCCCCCAGACATGCCAACCATTCTGAGCTGCCCTGCTCTCGGTGAAACCCCACTGATCTGGCATGCTATAAAGATTCATTGCCATTGGTTAACTTTAACATTTTTCCCCCCTCTCCAAGAATTTCAGTCCTGTGTAAGAGCCAACAGATACCTGTGCATCAGAGTAGTCTCGAGATCAGAACTAAAAATTAGTGTTTTTCTTAAGTATTGCTTCATTTCTGCTTTCCCCTCTGTTGCAAAATGGTAGCTAGGACATTGTCACCAGGCGTCACTCACAGTCGGGACAGAGCAGGAGTCACCCAGCACTGACTCAGCACAAATGCCTCTGTGAGAAGTGCCCTTTACAGCCCCTGCTCACATTCCTTAAGGCTGGCTGGTGGAGATCCAGGGGCTGGTGGGAAGCCAGCGGGCAGGTGCCCAAATGCTCCCCAGGAGCTTTAATGGAGGTCTGCAGCATCCACGTGTACAGGCTGTCCCTTGCTGGGCTGTGTGCAGGCATTTTTGATGAGTAAAGATGCAAAAAGCCTGCAGCCTTAGGGTTCAGACTGCATGCAATGCAGTCCCAGTCTGCATTGTGTGCAGTGCCTGCGATGCAAACCTAGGGCACCAGCACTGCCAAGCCAGCCCCCTCTGAAGAGGCTTCCTGCCCTGACAAAAGGCAAAGTGAGATCTCAGAGCACCACTTCTGCCCCAGCACTGTCCCTCTGAAGTCTCCACACAGGCAGCCATGCCCTTGCATGTCTCTGCCCTGGGCATCACCACACTATATGCCTAGTTTAGGACAGAGGGTTGCTTGAAGCTGTTTCACATGTTCACTCCCATGGTTTGCAAAACACGCACACCAAGCAGGAAATAAATATTATATATGATCATACTGGGAAAATAATATTTTTCCATTGCAGTCAGAAGAATGCTTTACATAGCAGGTTTTCATGGCATCATAGAGAGGAAAAAATAAATCCAGTTGTAAATAATAGCTAAAATGTAAACTATGCCCATATGAACATCCTTCCTTTTTAAGGTTCATTTTTAACCTTGCAAATGTAAGGGGATTTCAGCTGGGCACAATGAAAATTCCTTGCATACCATGTGCACGTTTTCTGGATGAAACAGCTATTTTCCCACACACTTCTGCAGCAATCTTATTAGTGTAGTCATGATTCTTGGAAAGAACTATTTCATAGTATTTTTTCATTTTATAGTACTCAAAAAAATCTGAAGTAAAATAGATACTTTTTAATTACATAAACATGCAATTTCTGAAGTGTCAGGCAAATAACAGGTCAAAGGTTAAAAAATGGGACTAGAATTTGAAAAGTATACATATGGATTTTAACAGTAACAAATATGCTGTGAAAAGTCATGCACATTCTTCATTTGTGGGACCAAATCTAAAAACAATTCCCCAAACTAATGATGAGAAGCAGCAGTATCTGCTGGTATATTTTTGGATATAAGCACGCAGTAGGATTATTTGACTTCTTTCTAATTTTTTTTGAAGAAGCCCAGTATAAAAAGTGTTATTTGAGAACTTTGGAACACTCTATTCTGAGGTTAGTTATTTTTCCCCCTATTTTTACGAACATCTTTGACGCACAATACATTGAAAACTAATATGAACTAATTTGTCTTTAATATCTCCCATATTAAGCACTATAGGAAGCACAGTTCTCCTGCAATCACTGAAGAAATTCCTTGTGAATTAAAGGCTGCTTTCTCATTTAAGGTCATGTGCTGAGGGAACACAGCTCCCTAAATAGTGAGGCTTTTGTTGAGCTATTCATCTCCTGCAGCAGCTCTTCTGAAAAACATGGTCAAAGGCAGAGGGAAACAAGTACCAAGCAAAGCCAGAGTTTCTCATGGATAGATTCCATCCCTAGAAACAAAGCCTCCTCCCAAGAATCCTGCTCTGTATAAGCTCCCCACGGGCCTTCTAAAAGCCTTGACCTGTCACATTAGCAGCAGCTTATTCTCTTTCACCAGTCTCTTCCACAATACAGCAAAACCATGAGGGAGATGCAAGAAAGCTTTTTTCTTTTTTTTTTTTTTGTTAATATATATACATTTTTTTTTTAATCTCAGGACAGCAAGCAGCTTACAGTGCAATTTGTCCTATGAGCCTGCTCTTTTTGATCAGAGCATTTTAAACATTCAGGTAGGTGTCTGATAAGGAAATACTGGCCATGCCCCTTCACAGGCAGCAGTCCAATGCCAAGTGCTACAGAAGAAAAGCAGTAGCAGCGTGATGTGATGTGTCTGGAAGATGAGTATTACAGCTCAAGTCTTTCTTCCACCAAGAACCCACTTCCATTATCCCTTACCCACAAAACTGAACTCCCTCTAACGGTGAAAAGTAATTTCTAATGAAAAAATATATTTATCAGTTCAATAAATGCTTTAGTACATGCTTTAAAGGCCATTATGGGGTGAAAATAGATTCTGAGGAATCTTTTTTTAAAGGGTTTATCATACTGTTTAAAGAACATAATTAACCTCTTTTTTATATACTTAGATATACTCCACTAAGCATTTTTAAAATTTAGGTTAAATAGCAACCAGAGATTGTTTCCCACTCACAAATTGCCATGAATTGCGACAAGGGTAACAGCAGGTCAACCTTTATAAATCTTTTATCTTTATCCCACGAAAACCAGTTGTTTGAAATCTTTTAATTTACATAGGAGGAGAACGGTCCTATACCCTTTAAAAGAAAATGAGAGTTTAAGTTGTAGTTATTAGACTACAGAATAATCTATAACTAAGGTTCTACAATTAAGCTAACACTAAAGTCAGGGTCAGTGTAAAGAAACACTTTTTTTTTTTAAATGAGATAATTTTACCTGTGTGGTAGAAAGCTCAGGACCTACTTCAGAGACTGCTTTAAAAACATTTAATAGTCCAATTTACACATTTTTTAAAAAAAAAATCCCTAAGCTTTTATGACTAATGAAAGGCCCATTGTCTGTGTATTATTTTTCTCAATCCCACTTGATCTATTACCCAAGAAACTTAACACTCATAAAACACTCATCATTTTTCTACACCCTGCCTTCCTTTCAATCCTCACAGTGCTCAGGTTTCAGTGGGAATTTACAGAAGAAATACAGAATAGAAAATACAAGTAATTTCTAAAGACTGCACATAAGGAAGTCCTGCTTTGTTTCTGTAACTCTTATCTATGACAAATAGTGACAGTATTTAGTATTAGTAATAAATGTTAGTGAAATTATACACTGACTTCTGAGATGATTTTTCTTTTTGCCAGCAAGGTTTTAGTGCATTAGAGGTTGATCAGATTTTCATAGGGTTTCAGCAGCATGGAGTTAGTAAATCAGACTGACACTTCCAACAATCATATAACAATAACATGTGTTCTACCACTCTAGCTGGTTTCAGGGATAAAAAAAAGATGCTTCTGCTTGACTTTTTAGCTCCCATTCTGCTCTCAGATAAGATTATATTGGTTCCGCCATATTTGGAAGAGTTTTGCACATTTCTGGAATGCAGAATCTGATCCATATATATAAAGTCAATCAATGTGTTTTGAGAAAAAGACTCTTATTTTCCTCTCTTTCTTCTAGTTTTCAGGTTCTTTTCTCCATCACACACTGGACACACTTCTCAATGCACAGTCACAAAAAACTGAAGTAGTTACAAAAATCTTAGAAAACCTAATCTCATAAACTAATTTACATATAGAAAAAGAGCACATGTAAAATCAGACTTATGCCTGACATCATATAAAAAGATCCAAGTCCTTATTTGGCAAAACACTGACATGTAGCTAGCAAACCAAACACAGCTCTGGTGTAATTTATCTATTTGCAATGGAGTTGATGCTGTTGACTCTAAAGGCGTAGTCTGCTGGCAGTGATCATCATGTAGACCATGCTGTTGGGTAAAGGAAGTCTCATTTTCTGTAGCCACTCAGTTTCCAAACACCTTACGTTTTGTATAAAATTGGGGCATTATATTTAAACAAGTAAAAAAGCTTAAAATTACTCTTTATCAGATATAAATTATCCTTAAATGACATCATCCATACAAAAAACCCAATAAATATATAATTTACTTGTGTGTGCATGCATATGTGTATGCATACATACACAACATACACCTATACCAGGAACTAAACACTCATTTAATCCCATCATTTTTATGAGAAAAAGATAAGAGGAATAAGCAGACAAATTAGTGGAATCTGTCAACTGAGAGAAATATAAAAGTACCATTTACTCTATTAAAGAGCATTTTAATAGTTTCATCTATTGCTATAATATACAGCAATGTTAATACTCCAGTCACAGCTTTTGTCCATTCCCACAGAGCACATCAGTACCAGCTACATGTAGAGTGAGATCAGTGCTTTGTCAGACCAGTTTGTATCTACATTCTATGCCATAACTAAATAAATTAGAATATGCTAAAGTGCTACATCAACACTAATGTTTCTGAACAGTAGTAACGCACATTTCTCTTTCAAAAAAAAATTTAAAAAATACAGCAGCTATAGTTCCAAACATAATCACATAATGTGAATATGTTTACATGTCAATTTGTTACAGTATTCAACAAAATGCACAACACAAAACCATATGGCAACAGTCAAGACTCCCACAGAGTACAAAAGGTAATTTCTTAAAAGTCGAGCATGATGGAAATAGACATTTGCAGTCTTCAGAATTCACACTTGAAAGTTTCGTTTAATCGCAACTTGCTGATGTCGATATTTATTTCCTCTGGTTTGTCACGTCTGTATGTTACTGTTCTTGTACAAACTGTAGGCAAAAACATCTTATCCTTGAAGGAGAAGATACAATTTTTATCAGCAATTAGCTAACTTTTATAAGCAAGAAAAAGATTACTGAAGATGATGGCTCTGAAATCAATTACCTTCTTTGTCGTAGATACTCTGTAATCAGATGAAGATTTAACTTTATTGCTACTCCCCTGCAGAATTATCTGCCTGATGATAAGGACAACAAGCAACCCGATCAGAAAAGTAACTATAAAGATTATGGAAAAGACTCTAAAGTAGTTTCGTCCAGAGAAACAATCTGCAATGAAAGGAAAACACAACGGTAAAGCCTAATGTATGGAATAGGCACATCCCTCTAACACAGGCATCTCCACCACTGCTTAGTAATGCTGCACAAATGTAATACAAGCCTGATAGAAATTAAGGGAAAATAAATTAAGGGAAATTAAGAGGAAAAGTTGTCATATGAAAGCTTTTAAAGTTGGGCATATCAAGAAAGGCAATTCAGATCAAGATCCATGGAAACAGAATTTAGGTTTCATTGTATTGCCCACCATAAATTCTCTGTAGACCAGTGAGTTTATAGCTGAAGTAGAGAGGATGAAATACTAGAGATGTTTGGGGCTGAGAGAATTTAATCTTCACAAGACAACAGCGAAGATCACTGGTAAAATTTGAAAGAAAATGTGTTTTATTGAATCCTTGGCCAGTGCTCTCCTCACTGGTAGACTAATACAGTAAGCTTTCCTTAATAGTAAAGTTATGAAAAAAGTATTCACAATAAGTTTTCACATTGATGAACTGTAATATAAAAAGATTTATATATATATTAAGGTATAACAAAAGGTAACCATTTACCTGCATTTTAATTGCTGCATGGAGTGATTAAACTTGGAGAGATTTTATTTTAAAAGATTTTATTCTTCCACAGACCTCATAACTGCAGTATTTTATACTTGAAAGGAACTTTTAAACATTACTGAACTTGAGGTAAGCATTCTACTTCTTTCTTTCCTGTTTCTGGTAATGTCAAATACTATAAGCATGGTCAATGTAATAAAACATGCAGATGCCATAACAAATTTTTATAAATATTTCTTTAAGCATTGCTCAGGCAGGATTCATCATTATTAGACATGACTTCTCGAGGACCTGGGAAAACTGAACTTAGTAATGCTTGACAATCTTATTTCCTGTTATTATTTATCTTTCCCTAAAGCTATGAATGATTTTTCTCTTTTTCCTCTTTTCTTTCTTTGCTATTGCAATAATGTGATATACTTCTGAAAGACATTCTAACATTGACAAATTAAATTACTAATCACAGAAGATTTTAATCTCTGATTAAAATTACCTAGAAAATGCCACTTACCTGAAGAATTATCAATATAATGCAGTAGGTAAGTGCATGAGGTTGTGCACTGGTCAAGTATGACTTGAGATGCATTATTAGAATGATAGCAGTGAACACAGTTCCTGTAAAATAATAATTGAAATTTTAATAATTTCATATTTAATATTTTTAATTAAATAATAATTCCTGTAAATTATAATTGAAAACCTATGTCTTTCTCTGCATTCCCCTTTAAGGGATTGTATCAACAGGCTGACGTATTGCTTGCACATAATGCTTTCCTGTTGTTAGTAAAAACATTGCGACATTTATTTATTTTTTTCTGAAATGTGATGCCTCTCTCAGCATTTTATCCCCCTGATGCTTCTCAGAACCAACTAGTCAGAAGTTGCAAACCAAAACATGTCTTTGGCTTTGAGCCACCTTCACCCAATCCTTGCTCTGCCTTTTGTGATGCAAGGGTGTAGCTAAGGTCCAGCTTTCTTCAGCTTTCACTTCCTAGTCTTTCCTTATCTATCAATCTCATTCAGATGCACACTGGAATTGAAAGGTAGAGGTAAGTAGAGGAAACACAGTTTTGCCAATAATTTTTGGGTGCTATGTTAAGACAAAGCCAAGTAAGTCTGCACTGCTGGGCAGTTTAGGGAGAGAGCACAAGTGGGAGGCAATGCTCTCAGTCTTACTGTCTTCACTGTATAGCCCTGAAGGAGACAGATGTCAAAGAGATCCCCAAAAAAGCCCTAACTGAATTTTTAATGAAGATATGCCATCTTCTGAATTTATTAAAGGCACAAGTTTCACAGTGACTTTGAACAAATGTAAGCCAGAAAGGTTAACTGCATTTTATCTAGTGAAATCTTAGCAGCAACATTTCCAGATGTGGCCAAGCTTGGTTCTCCAGCATTTTCACCAGATGAGATAAACAATGATTCTGTTTTGAGCACAATGACCTTTCCAATGAAAGGCTGATCTTTCACCCTCTGCACCACAGTGAGATGCACAACATCACATGTGTGATGAGAGGGCACAGACGAGATGTGCCCAAGGAAAGGGCTTCATTTGCTCTCTGTGCCAGGACCACAGAGGGCACCACTGAGAGCCTGGTCTAGCTTGTCCCCTCCTGGGCTTGCTCAGTTTTGACCTTCTCACTGTCCCTTCCTTTACATGGGTAAGGAAAAATGACATGCTTTAAGACCAGCATGGCAAAGACTAAGTGCTTTGAAATTGAGCAATGAAGAATGTTTTTCTCTGGGTAAGACCAGCTCTGCTCTGCTGATCAATGGCAGTGACAATCCACAAGTACTGCTCTAGCTCCGCACTGCTTTCTTTCAGCTTCAGCTGAGAAGCACAAGGAGTGTGCAAAAACAAATGTGGAGAATATTACTGGACTTGGTGGCATTCAAAAGTAGGAACTATTTTCCATTTTTAAAAATACAAACTTATGTTTTATTTCCTACCCAGGAGATCACATATGAAGAATGGTTAAAATAGATGCTGACATGCAATTCTCTAAATTGCCAATGTGAATCCAACTACACAGAGAAGTATCAAGTATGAATTGTACCAATTTCCTACAATCTAAATAACTAAGAAATAGAAGCAGAAATATATTTTCATGTTTCAATACTAGGGAGTGAAAAAGTCAAGTCTAGCACAAGAAACATACCAGTTTTCTTCACAGGCTTTGTTACAAGTAGGGCAATATTCACAGAAACGGCCAAAGCTTCTTGGGTCTGTGCACTCACACTTTCCACATACACATTTTCCTCTTCCACTGCAAATTTGGCCCTTTGAATTCAGGCAGTGCTTTGCTGATTGTGATGAGCACTCACAACGATCACCTTCCCAGCCAGCAAAGCATTTGCATTTACCACCTTCACATTCACCATTACCTACAACACAGAGAGTCTGGAGTCATATGCTTCCATGAAAACACAGAAAACAAATTTTTGATGGATACATTTGCGTTGCTTGTGCTTTACCTTGAACAGAGCATAGACCTGGACTTTCTAATTAGTTTTTAACTTAACAAAAACTTGGACTGAAGTTACTGGCATGATCAATATTGAAGGCTGCTGTTCATTGTTAAGTTGAGCATAAGTTGCTACTATGATGTCACCCTAAAACCTTTAACTAAAATTCTGCTCTTTTGCTTTGGATCAAAACAATGGAGATTAGGAATTACACAATGACCAAGAAAATAGTCTTCAGGCAAACTAAGCAAACTTCTCATTAGCAAGACAACATTCCATTCAAATAAACAGCAAGTTTCAGTGGAAGAAAGAGTATAAAGTTCATGTGCACAGGCCAGGTTCTTTCCTTCCTTTTCATTTTCCACTTCCATTTCCATTTCTATTTCAATTTCCATTTTCTTTTTTTTTTCTTTATTTCCTCTTCCCTACCATAAAGTGGACTACAAAAAGAATGAAAATTTCTAACAACTCTGTTTCACTAAGAGTCTCCTTTGTGAAGCAGGCATTCCCTACATTGTTCCTGTTTATACCAGTATTTGAAATCAAGTGCCATTGTACGTCTCACAGGACTAATTCAGGGTGGTAGAAAATCAGAACCTCAACTGGAAGCTATGATCACTTCCTAATCTCTCAGTATCTCATATTTCCATTATACTGAAATGTATCAACTAGCTTCCTGGAATAATGTTATTTTTTGTTTGAGAAATTAGTATCATTGCTTATTAAGAATTTTGAGATTTAAATATTAAAATAGCTAAATTTGGACAAAAATCAATCTATCCCCTAGAAAATGGTGGTGAAATTTAGAAGACAGTATGCCTGTGGTGAAGAGAGTCCAGGAGTGTGAATTCCTAACAGGATGTTCAGGACATTTCCCACACTAATTCTGCACAAACAGTTCTAGTTCTTGACAGCCTCATATCATTGTTTTCAGCTGCATCATGTAAAGTAGCCTCAGAAAACAAAACAAACCAAGAAAATACAGACAGAAACACTGCAACTTACCAGAACATAAGTTTCCCTGGTGATAGGGGCAGGAAAAATCATCCATTTCACAGTACTTGCCATACACCTTGCCTAGCTTGTTTTTGTAGCAGAAACATTTTCCATCTATGCAATTTCCTTGACCACTGCAGATGGGTTGGTCCTGGTGTTGCCTGCACTTCTCTGAGGGAAGTGTGTCTCTGTTAGAGCTGCAGTCACTGTCAGTGCACGGGGACTGTTTGCTGTCAGGAGAAGTTTCATCAGCCCACACTCCTTTGTGCCCTGTGCTGTCTCCATACTGGCAGGCACAGCTTTGCTGCACATTGACAATGGCAGTTTCATTGAAACCAATAGGCTTAAGTATGACATATTTTCTTCCTCCACTTGTATGACATCCTTTCATTGTAACTGATACATTGAAAAGTACCTAAGAAGAAATAAAGATGGATTTAACAGTATTATTATTTTCTTGCTTACACTTGTTTAAAAATTTTAACACATAAATAAAGCAGAATCTTATATTGTGTATGAATGTGCACTAGCTGATAATAGCAAAATACACAGTGGTCACTTTTCAAACATTATATATTAGTAATGATAGGCATCACAAATATAGGTAAAATCCTAATAATAGAGGAAGTCCACTTTTCAAGTTAAGAAAGCATAGTTGCAAAAGACAAGTTTAATACAAATTAAATGGAAATAGAAATATCATCATCATCATCCTGCTCTAATTATTTAACATGTATATTCTGTTATATCACAGGAATATTTAGGTAAGAATTGGGACTAGATTGAGCAAGACAATACACAAACAGAAACAGAGATACTCTTCATAAAAAGAATCTATAATGAACGTCCTGCTGCAGAATTGGTCATGCACACATAAACCACATAGATTTTTGGATGGCCCTGGCTACCCCTACTGAAACACAGAAACAGTTCACATGTTAGCAGCTACTTTTCTCAATTCCGTGGACCCAGTGCCTAGCTCCAGGCCATGTCATGACCATCACCACCATCCTCCAAGTTCTCATCCCAGCAGTGCCCACTGCAGCAGCAGCTGTCATGGCTTTTTGCAGTTCTAGCACAGGACTAAGGACCATTTTTGTAGTTAGGTGATTGCCATAGAGTTTCCATCAATCATCCCTAAAAGTTTTTGACAGCTCTGCCATGTCTGACACACTAGATATCAATCTTGTATTTTACAAGTATTTTTTGGGGTTTTTTGTCCAGTACACTTCTGACGGGGTATTCCCTCTAAAGTTTTGAATTTTTTCAGCTTCCTGATGCAAAGCAACTCTTTCTCATTTCCTCATAAAGAAAATGTAACCACGAGGAAAAAGTGAGAGAGGAACACAAGAGAAGCAAGTACCTTTAATCTTTACTACCAAAAAATAAAGATTTCCAAATAAAAAAGGAGAAACCCCGAGACACTGATTACATATGAGGCTGAAACTACCCGCAAATACTGAGGCCATTCATCTCTCATCACTGTCTCTCCCTCCCGCTGCGCCCCCACACGAGAACAACCCAGCCCCTGGGGACAATGGTGGCTTTGTGGCAAGTGGGGCTGAGGCTGCCCACACGGACAACAGGAGAAGAATGCTGTGCAGAAACATGCACTTAATGTCATATTGAGGGGGCACACAGGCTTTGTCTCACCCTTTGCTTTTCTTCTCGTTTCTCAAATGTGCCACTACACACATAACCCCTCAGCAGCCTACACTCTCCATGCATTGAGATTTCTTCCCTTGGGTTGCAGGGCAAAAGTGTGGCTATAAAGGAATTGATTCATACAGCAGGTGCATATCATGTGGGGAGGATAGGCTGCAGCTAAGGAATGTGATTTATTCAACACAGAGCCCTGCCAGAAAACATCATCTTCATGTACAAAACAGTACTGGAAGAATTGCAGGGAAATGGGAGGGAAGGGAAAATCATGTTGTGCATATGAGTCGTGAAATTTGATTCTGAACACAGCAGCAGACAGATTGAGCCTGTGGTGACTAAATAATTACAACACCATGACACTTGCTAATAGCCAAAGTTAGTTTTGCACCCTGAAGAGGCCACAGGATTCTTCCAGAATTTAATCCACTTTGTGTTTTGGTAAGAAAAGGAAGGAAGAAGGATTAGACAATGAAAGGAATGTGAGAATTAAGGAAAAGCATTTTGTCTGTAAACAAATACTGAAAGAAGGATTTACGGTTAAAATAAATTAATCTCTTAAGGATGGCTCATTTTCAACAGCCGTAGAGGTTTAGGACCACATGCAATCTTTTACAATCAACTGGCTTGGCTTTTATTAAAAAGAAACAGATATAAATATTTTTCTTTTCATTAAACAGAACAAATTCCAGTCCTGTGTCTTATGACATGTCCAGGGACCAACAGAGGGGAAAAGATGCTTTAAGAACAAAAACAGCAAATCTCCTGTAAACTGTAGAAGCTACAATCAGCAGCATGCAGACAAAATTCAGAAGAACATAAAATACATTCAAATTTACGTTACAATTCACACATTTAATTTGTTTTGCTATTTCTACACACAGACATAAGCTATTTCTCACACTAGCTGAGACATATGTACATGTCAAGCAGGAAAGAACTCCTTGACCCTGCTCTCTAGAAACACAGACTTCTTCCTGGCAAGTGAAAAGAATTACTCCAGTAGTCCAAGAAATTAAATGAATATATTAAGGCACAGAGAAGTTTTTCTGGGAAGAAAACCATGTTCTTTACCTCAGCCAGACATCTTCCCCTGCATTTTCATGGTGCATGATGATCTGTTTCATTCAGTAGGTGCCACCAATTCAAATGGGAATAAATTATTTTATTAATTTGGTTTAAAGAATAAACTAGTTATCCACAACCCTGATTGTGCAGGAAGACTACCAAAGCAAGAAGAGAGAAAGGTGACATCTAGTCCCAAGGAACACAAATTCCAGTGATTTTTTTCCACTGGGTGATTATCTTTCAACCTCTTTACGTACAGATTTCATCACAATGGATGTGGTGGTTGTGCTCAGTGGAGGACAAAGAAGGAAAGTTTTAATGGACGTTAGCTTTCAGGAAAAGCTTTGAGCCTTAGTTCCACAGGATTAGTGAGAATTAAAATAAGATTCAGGAAAAATAAACCCAGAGAATAATAGAGAGCCTGTGATCATTAATCACATAAATCCATTTTCAGTTTAAGTAAATCCCTAGAAGATTTCACACCATTGAAACCCAACCAAACAGAAAAATAAGTATTCCAGTTCCTTGAAGAATGAGAACTATCAACATACTTCTTTATTATATCCCACATTTTTACATCCTTCCATGCCAGGTTTTTTACTTCCATCAGGACAGATCGCAGTGATATTGAAATGAAGACCTTGGATCTGGTTATCCACCTGAATTTTCACTTCAGAGATTAGTTTCTGTAAGCAGAAAACAAGTTTTAATTGCACTGCATCTCAAAATATAATGTACATTAGTGACTAACACCAAGTATGGCTCCTATGTCTGACTAAAAATGAAGAAAGCTTGTCTGTGTGAATAAAGGAATGAATTAAAGCTTTGTTTCCTATGTAGAGACCCAATTACATTCCAAATATACACAACCAGTGAACTGGTAATTCTGATAAAGAGGATTAGGTTTTCCAGATAAAAATGTTTTCAGCTTTGCTAACATGGTTTTGAGACTGCATTTTTCACAATTTGAAAATCTATTCCAACAACCATGTGCAACAAAAACTGCTCATTGTTTGAGTCTACGCTGGCTTTTAGCCATACACCTAAAATACAACAGTAAACATACATAGAACCACTGTTATCCAGCAGAAAAGTTTTCTAATTGACTTGACACTTTGAAAACTTCTAATATTTTGCATTTATCTTAGAAAATTTTTCTCTGAACAAACCTTAGGGTGACCTAAAGGCTATTGGGATTATTCTTACTGATTTTTCTGGGTAAACTAAGACTATAAAAGCCAGCAATTGGCCGATTTTGCAATAAAAAATAATGAAAAAGCAACTACTTTGTAACTTGTATTTACTACATGACCTAAAATCCTGCTTCCTTCAAAGAAGAAACACTTCTTGACCATTTAAAAATTTATTAAAGCTCTGTACAAATTTATGAGCTGAAAATTGCACAGAGGGATTTTTAAAATTCCTGTCATATTACTATTAAAAATAAGTTTAGTGGGATATTTTTACTGCTACAAATGGAAACGCAATTATATGAATCTTAACACATGTTTATCTTAGTAGTAACTTTTTGAAAATTAGTGACTCATCCTTGGCTTTTTAGCCAGGGATTTTCAGCCAGGGTTTTCCATAGCTAAGGCTAAGGTTTCCCTGCCTGGAACAAGAGTGAAAGAGGCCCACTGTCACTGAATATCAACACTAAATTTATTTTCTTATCTAAGTCCTTTTTTTCCTAGAATGCAACACATTCAAGACCTCTTCACCATGTGTTTATATAGTAAAATGCCCCTAAAACTATGATAAAAAGCTCAAATTGTGAAATCCAATGAAGGTTAGAATGGGAAGAAAGTCATTGTCTAAAAAATGAAAATAAAGCTAAAGCAAACTGAGGGTGGCTGGACCAGGAAAGTCCCACTGAATCTTGTATTGAACAAAGTAATTGCATCATAAAATTTCATTTCTTCCCCTTGAATGTTTGCCCTGCACTGAGTAAGAACTGTGTTTCAATTTAGGAAGGACAGTGTAAAATTGACATACAAAAGGACTACAATTTTCAAAATTCTATGCCAGCAACTTCCTGCAAACCTCCATATTTAAAATGAGATCTCTTGACTTTATAAGAGGAAATAAAATACCAGTGAGAACTTCTCTGCAATTTGACTACCCCTAAACTCTGCTTTTGAATGTGTTTGCCTTTCTCCCAAAGTCTCCAACGTGACAGTGAGAAAAGTGTATGCAAAAGCACTCTATGAATTAGGAACAGACGTGGGGGCTTGCTCTTCATTATAGCCAATTTGCTGAAAGCAAATTGCTTGATTCTGTGGTTAAGCAAGTAAAATGGATAATTTCAGCCTCCCAAATCTAACAAATTAAAAAAAAAAGTGATACATGTGGATACCTTGCATATACTTTTGAAGCTGAGATTTCAGCTTTCTGAAACAGAATGTTTGTGTGTAACTGCACAACTTAACAGCATTCAACCATGCAACCCATCACATTCATTCAGATGCTGCTCTGTGGGCCCCCCATGCTCTGGTACCTCAAATGTCTATTTCTTGGCTTCATTATCAAAGCTGTTTACACTGTCTTTCCTTCATTAACAACATGCCTGTTTCACTTTCAAACTGCCATTTTGTGTCAATCATGTGTGGAAAATGACTTTATGGTATTTCCCATACTATTACTTTCTCTTTCTCAAACTATTACGTTCAATTGATGATTCCAAGCAAGAGTTCACAAAGCCATTTCCATTTTTCTCTCCCAAATTCTATCAAAACTCTTCACTTCCATGCCTAAAACCCTCAAGTAATTACTCTGCTTTTTACAGTATAGATACTGCTTTTGACAATATCCACTGTTCTAAAACGACCTCCTTGTAAATTCCCATTTCTTGTCTGTTTTCTAAAAATTATGCTGCAGAACTCTCCAGATACTGCATTAGGCTTTTGCTCTGAATTTATATGGTGCCTAGACAGTGGTGTCTGGTCTGTAACTAAAGATCTGAGGTGCCAAAATTCAAACAAATAAACCATCTTTTGAAGTGACATAGCAACAGATACAGAAAACCAAATACAATATTTAGAAGCATCCTTAGAAATTAAAAACGAGAAGCTCTTGGCTTTGAGACCCTGACTGCCTGGGACTTGGAGAGCTATCAAAAGATAGCATCACCTATCCACCTGGACATTAGGAAAAGTACGGAATGTATCCTTGCAGACTTCAGTTGGAAGACGAGATCCTGGAAATTCCAACTTCAGGCTATAAAAGATGAAAAATGTACAAATATTACATAGAACATGTCACTCTCCTCATACCTGATAGGCTTCTACCACCAAATCATTGATGTTTGCTGCTTGGGATTCTATTTGTCTTGCAACAGTACCAGGCAAGAGAGGTAACAGATCCTATGAAAAAGAAATAATTTATGCACAGTTTTAAGTATAAATATTGTGCCTTCAGAATTAAAAAAAGAAAACAGGTTTCTAACCTACTTTATACCAATGAAACTGGCTTCCTTGAACAGCAAAAATAACATTGATGTTATTGTCAATCAATTTTTCAGAGAGCTGCCCAAGAGATGGATGCTCCTGCAAAATACAACAGGAAAGAGAAGATTGCAGATTAATAGGAAAAATCTTATATTTCATATGTGACACATTACAGTTTTTCAAATCAGTCAAATTGGATTGATTCCAATCCAACTGTAACTCCCAAACGTACAGAGAATGGTAGACTGATATCAAAACCAGGATGGGCCATCCTAATAAACAATAAAAAAAAAAAATCATCAGGGCATCAGCTAGGGTTATCTGTAGCCATCTATGTTGATCTGCTGCACATTGGGACGACTCTACAGTATTATTTTGTTGGTCTCAGTCTTATGCTTAAAGAAATATTGATAGGATATGGTCCATCTGGAAGAACAGGGAATAATAGGGGGGTTCTTGTGCAAAAGCCAGGGAGAAAGTAAAACATGAAGCACTGAGATGAGGTGTGCTTTTGGGCACACAAAGGAGGGTAAAACTGACAGCTTTCTCCTTGGTGTGTTCAAGACCTACCTAAGGGCTGATGACTCTAGTCCTCACCATGATGACCTGCTACATTTTCTTAACCACACCTGTGCTTGAAGAAGATGGCATGAGTTTCACAGCTCTCCTCAGTAATGCATTGTTTTATTTGCTGGAGTACCTATGACAGCCTGTCCTGTGCCAATGACCTGCTCTTCTACACTTCTGATTAAGAGATCTGACATGGATTTGAGAACAAGAGCTGTGTTGCTACCTCTTCATCCAAGATCTGGGCAAGTTCAAGGGTGTCTGTGTGGTCCCAATGGGCTTTGTACACGTGGGGTAACGGGAGATCCCTTCAGCTCCAGAACTCCAAACCAAACTGTATCTGAAAATCACCACTTATTAACCAGCCTTAAATGAATACTTCTCAAGAAGTATTCAACAGTTCTCCAGTAAATTCAACAGTTAAAATTCATTACTAAAAAGAAAGAAGTGACTGGGGTTTTGGCCTGTGATTCCACTTGAAAAGATTTCATCTGGACACCTCCACTTACGTCAGCTACTTCAACCTTTATCCCCTACATAGTTTGCTCTTTCTTTTCCTTGTATTTTTCATCATCTTCCCCCCCTATTGTCTCTCTCTTGCACAAACACAGTCTGTTACCCTGAACAATTTCTTTCTCCTCAGATTGTCCCTTTTTACTTAAGAGACCCTGCAAGTCAACAGCCCTACTAGCAATAATCTGAATAGCAAGACAACTGAGACAAAGAGAATCTTATGCAAGAGAGCAAAATCCATTTTCCATCATATTGCACAATTATAAAGAGCCTGTATAACGTACAGAGAGAACAAAAGAGTTTCTTGGTGCAGTTTGATATTGGCCAGGGTACATTCCTCTCTCAATGTTTCAATGCTTTGGTAAAAGATTATGTTTCTTAAGATAACTGATAAAAGGTAGATAACACAGTATCAAACAGGCCTTCTTACAGCTCCAGCTAGAGAGAGTAGCCTACCACACAGTGCTAAGCCCTCCTTCCTTCTCCATGGCACAGAGCACAGTGGTGGGGCCTCCACTGTGCTGCACAACCCTACAGGCCAATTGGCTGGCAGACCACAGACACACCAAGTGGTCCCAGGACACGAGTGAAGCCAGAAGTTCTGCAAACTCCTCCTGCACCATAAATGTGGGAATGACAGGGGTAGTACCAAGAGATCATGAGATGCTGGCAAAATAAGTCAGTCCTCTGGCTTAGCACATGATACTAGATCTGCCTGAATTACAGCAGAATGGCTCCTCAGCAACTCTGCAGCTACTGGCTGAACTCTGGCATCAGGAGTATCAGAAATAGCTTTCCAAGCCTTCATAAAACAAAAACTTACTCAGATGGAGGTTATGACACCCACAGACATGCAAGGGCTGCAGAGACAGGATCCCCAGACTACCTCTGCTCACAAGGAAGGCTGAACTTCCATGTACTTGTCATCAATAGCTCTCCAGAGTGTCCAGCTTCTGGTTTATTTTTATTAGAATTGAATAGAATAAAAAAAACACCAAAAACCAAAACCAAACAAAGCCCAAAGCATCAACAGACCCACACTAGCATTTCAATTTTAAGTATGTAGAGATCACATAAGGTACCAGTGGCCACTCATGGAGCCTTACTTTGCTTGCTGTGAAAACCTTGCTGTAATTTGTGTTTTCATCTTATCTCTTCCCACTACTGCTCAGGTAAATGTACTTTAATTTTAGATCATCTCTCTTGTTTCAATTGCATAATTCATTTTATTATTTTAACTTACTTGGTTAAGCTGAGAAGATAACAAATGCAAATGTTAAGTATTTCAGAAACAGAGTTAACCAAGTGCAGATCTAATTAAAAGAGATTAGATTTCTTTCCTATCATGCATTTTTTTTGCTGACCCTTCTGTGACTGCTTAGCAGAAGTTAGAAAGAAACATGCAGAAAAATTGTCTAAGTGGAAACATTTCTGATGTCTAAGCTTGTTCAAATAAATAAAGCAAAGTCCTCTAAACTGGCTCAAGTAAGAAATAAAAATATGCCAAAATACAATCTTCTCATGATTACCCAAAGCTAAGAATCAAAGCAGGAAAACAATGTAATTGCAGAAGTCTTTAATTTAGCACAGCCAAACAAAATTGTATTGATACCAAAAAAATCCAAAAATATGTTTCATATTACGTTTTCTAAAAGACTGACAGACTTTCATGATATTTCATTTAAGTATCAAATAGTTATTTCAGCCCTCTGATTTCACTCACTCATTTGAAGTTGGATATCTATAAATAAAATAATCACACCTACCATGGATGAGAGGATAAAAGCAAGAAACCAGCACATCTTCCCTTACAGACACCATTGTGTTGTCATCAAATCTGCTCCAGAAAATGCAATTCCTAGTACTAAGTTGATGCCTACTGTTAACATGTGGGCATGCAAAAATTAGCACATATTTTAAAAAAAAGGGGTTAGCAGCCGGAAAACATGTGGTTCTAAATGTTCCACCACAGATATAAGCATCTTTCAAGGTCATTTCATTTGTGTGGCTAAAAAAACCAATCTCATAAAATACATCAGTAGCAGTCATCATGGAGATTTCATGTTCCATATGGGAAAGTTCTATTATGAACTATCAAACCAGAATGTAGAATATCAGTAAAAACACCTTTTTTTCAGTGAGCATCAATCTATCATAGCTGCATAGAAATATATTCATTTTGCCCGTATTTTCCGTTAGTGAGTTTTTCAGTTGCAACAGAAATTAATTCCCAAAGTTGGACAGAAAATAAATACAGTTTGTTGGTTTTTTTTTCCTGAAACAGAAAATATCTTTGTTATCAAAGGAATCCTGAACACCAAAAAGTACCTTTAGCAACTTACCAGTTGTTGCTAAAAGTACCTTTAGCAACTATTGAATAAGCAGAGCAAATATTCTCTGATTTATAGCACTGCAACTAAGAAAACTAAAAAGAAAGAAAAACAGAGAATGTTCTGCATTGGGAAAGAAAAGTTTCAGGATTATCTGCTCTAAGTAGAATAAACTGAATAGGCTGATTAGAATGGAAAAAAAAAATCTGACATCTGCGAGGAAATATCCAAGAGGTGACAGAGGGAGTATATGAATGCAAGAATGTCAGATAAACGGAAATCTAAATAACCTTCCTGTTAGCACACACTGATCTCCCTCCTCCGCTCAGCAAGGTCCCAAACACTCACTGCTTCCCAGAAACCTCCTGTATTTCATGATAGCACAACAGCCAGCAGCCTCTTCCTGCTGCTCCACCATTCTTGTAAATAACAGTTGCCAGGATTACATTCAGGTCTAACCCCACTTACACAAGCCCTCACTGACTTCACTTTCACATTGCTGGCTCTGGCTGAACACAGGCTGTACCCTTTAACTAAGGGCAGCCAGCACTGAGAACAAAACTTCAATGTGTTCTAACTGTGTCACAGCTCATACTTTGGCTTTCTGGGGATTACATTGCAATTAAGCAGTGATTCATGTTTCTTAAATAAACAATTCATATTTATTTAAGAAAATAGCCAAAGCAGTTGAAGCCTATAATTCTTAGGAAAAATTCCTTTCTTCAGTCACTTATAACTACTTTATCTATTACTGAAGAAAATATTTTGAAAGTTAAAAAAGTCTGTTGAAGGCATCTTACTTTGCTACATCAGATTTGCTGCAACTTTTTGCAGAGGTTTGTATTACCACACATTGGCTTTCCACTGTGAAATCTGAATGCATTTAATGCTTGTCCATCCATTTGAGATAGCTCTTTGCTGTTGTATGCCCTCTGGTTTACTCTTACCAAGCCTTTCAACCAACACTCCTGTGCATCCTCTGACCATAAACCGTAGCCACTACCTTTGTCTTGTGAGCATGATTGTACAACTCCTACATCTTACCAGCTTCTACTTGTGCAAGTTATCACACCACACACTTCTTACTTATATTTTATACAATACGTGTGTGATTTTTATGAGATGCTAATAAAAAACTCACACCAAAACCACAACATATCCTCTTTGCTGTGTACCCTTTTTTTCAGAACTCCAAAATACTTTAGTTCACACAAAATGAATGTCAATATGCCAGGTGACCAATTCTTCATTTCACAACTTCCCTAACTGGAATAATATTATTATAATAGCTGAAATAAAAGCAATGTTTTGAGAGGAGTCTAAAACTCTCCTTTAAACAGTTTTCTACTGCCTCTCTGAAGGCAAAATCCATGACATATACCTTACCATACTCGTAGCTTTGATGTACACATTATCTTTCAAATGACAGTTTCCATCATGGGGAATTACAATTCCTGCTAATTTACTGTCAAGGGCCAGATGGGAAGTTTGATCTGTCATCACAAGAAGCAATCGCTTTGCTTCTTTACGCCATCCAATATGGCTCTACAAAGAAAACAAAATTAGGTGTAAGAAAGCAGCAGCTACCTATTTTCTAAAGTAATCAACAACAAAATGAAAAATTAACATGAAAGACCACCTTCCAGATGTTACACTGCCTGGCAGCATTGCATTTAGACCAGGCTATTTAAAGCATTTTGTGTGGAAATACACATAATGTATTACATCTGAAATCTACCAGTTTCTTTGCTTTTTTCCATTTACCATTTTCTTTGCTTTTTAAAGAGCCATGTCTCACTATACATGTCAGTAATGCTTTATATTGAGGGCTTGATAACAGCTGCCACATTGTCTATGTCACTATTAAGTACAAATGCAAAGCCCACAGTTTGTAAAATCCTCTGGGGTCCTAGGAAGTATTACTTTCAGTAAACATGCATTCATCCATATTGATACTTGGCACTGTTCTATTTTTACTTTGATTTATATTCTCATCACTCTATAATTTTCTTTTCCTACACAATTTCCTGGAAAGTGCATTAGTATGCAATCAAAAATCAATAAACTAAAGTTTGAAGGACTTAATGCAATTATAAATTGAGAAATTCCTTATTAAGCAGCAAAATGCTACATTTTTTCACCATCTTAGGGGATTGATAGCAAAATGGCAGCCTCAAGGGTGAATTGAATGCCTTTAAGGAATTTGGTGATTTGAAGGATGCAGCAGGGTAAACTTATACCTAAATCAATTTAGAGATGCCAAATTGTATTTTCAAAACATTTATCTCCCTGATTATAATCAAATTTCTGAGGCACACAGGAAACACATCATATGATTTTTCATTATTCCCTGTCTTGCTTATTCCATCTACTTTTTCATTGCTTCCATTTTATCTCCTTCTTATGACACAGAATCTCTATGATTCTCATGTGAAACATGAACCTGCATACAGTCCATGTACTCAGCCAGGTTTTGTGATTTACTCTCTGCCTTCCTTTCTTCATGGAGAGGAATTTAGCTCTCTTCTCAGGCTCACTCTCTACTCTCTCTGAATGGAGATTAAATGTCTCAAGCCAGCAAGAATAACAAGTACAGAGGGGTGTCATGTCTTTCCAACTTGTACTTTAGGCATCAGTCTCTCTCAGACACTCCAAGACAGGATCCCTCTAAAGAAGGAGTATTTTAAGTTTTATTTGTAAACAGGATTTGTCTTAAATCATTCCAAATTCTCCTCCAGCACTGTAAAAACCTCTTCTCCTAAGACTCCATCATTTGACTTTGTCATCTTGAGACTTGTTTAGCTTTAGGTAATGCTGTGAGGAGCAGGGAGTTGGACTCAATGATCCTTATGGGTCCCTTCTGAATTGAGATGTTCTGTGATTCTATGATTCCTACCTACATATGTCACAACAATCTAAATTTTGAAGCAGCTCCATGTCCTAACCTGTTACTTGCAACTTTGATGTATTGGCTAAAGCAAGATGGAGCAAGTTATAAAGGTCTATTGTAGGCAAAATGAGTGCACATTAATATAATTTATAGTTCATGATGGTCATTATGAATTGCACATTCTTCCCATCCATTTCAGTTCACAATTCACTTACCAGGAAAGCCTCCATACTCTCATGAATGTTTCCATTCTATTGTTCTTGGAAGCATATATTACTCTAGAACTCACATGTCATAAGTGAGGAATGTGTCCAGTGAGAAACACTGAATTTTTAGGAATTTTTCCAAAGCTCCAGAATAATTCTTTGTAACAGTTTCAATCACAGTGTTTATAAAGCGTGGTTTTTACTTACCTGCTCATCAAAATTTGAAAATAAAATTGGACCAAACTATCCATTTTTAGCATAGTTTGGATTACTTTTTGTTCTTGAGATATTGTACTGTACAGAAAAATAGTGTGAAGATGGACAAGATAAAACAATTGTCCAGACATTATTCTAACAGATGAGAAACAAGCCAAGCCTGTGATTTGAATATAAGTTGAATATTTTATAGAGCATTACCAAACCCATGAATCAGCAAAATTTCAAAATTTGTATTGCATTAATATGCATAAGAAGAAAAACAATAACAAAGAATAGCTCTCTAGAGCAAAACAAACTCTTGCTATCTAATATACTTACAGGTCGAGACTTATCCATGCAGATCTTTTCTATCCTTTTCTGCATGGGACAGACTGTGATGACATTTTATCAATGTACAAAAGTTAATTTTTAGTTGATTTGTACTGTTTTAAAATTTGAAAATTTTAAAAGCTGAGAACATAGAAGTTCTTGTGTTATCCTTATCTACACAAGCAGTTAAGTAAAACATCTTCAATTTTCAAGTTCTTAAGGAGCAGAAATGTCAAATGGTATGTCTTCATTGAGGAACACAAGCAGTGCTTTAATGATTTATGAAACTAATTATGTAATTGACTGAAATTCATACATGTGTCTGTTAAAACAAGAAACAGTTGCTTTCATCATCCATCCTATGTTGGTTAGGCTGGTTAAAGCCAGAAATTGAACATCCCTAACCAATACTGAAATATGTTCCCTCATGCTCTCCTTTTTCAGTTTCAATTGGAAATTTTTACTTAAGGGGGAAATAATGGAAAATGAAGAAAAAAATCTTAGTATTATCAGGCATAGCACTGGCTTTTTGAATTCAGGAACACTGACCACCAGTTTATCTCTCTCTCTCTCTCTCTCTATATATATATATAAATAGTGCATGAATTACTATTTCTTTACTCTTTTGTAAATAAGCTGCTTCCTTACCTGGCATACAGCTGCTTGGAGCATCGCATCGAAACCTCCTTCAGGTGTATCAATATTCCCAGATATTTTTTGTTTATTCACTGCATTTCTGAATTCTGCTATATTGTCAGTCAGGGATAGCACATGAATATAACCATGAGGAGGCATACAATCTAAATTGTAATCACTGTACAAAACCAGAAAAAATAAAAAAGACTTATTTTTCCTTTGAAGGAAATGAAAGTATTGAATCCCCATTAACTCATAAAATCCTGCTATTAATGAAGGTGTAGGTAGCACAGAATAAGAAACACTTACAGAAAAAAAGAGCAAGTCCATGTGAAATTAAGTTCAGTGGGAAGTAGTTATAATTAACTACAAAGAATGTACATTGTCTTGTATTTTATGGAATTGTGTATATAATAACTTAGTTAATATGTTAACATTATGTATGTAGTGTTTCATACAGAACAACAAATTCAACAAGAGGGATGGGATGATCTCAGGGAGTATATGAAACCTTCTGGAATCTCTACAGTGTGGTACAACTTTGCTTTTCATTATCCTGAGAAAGGACTATCATGCTGTAACAATAAGATCTTTTAATAGGTTGCTACACAGGCTATTGAACTGTAACAAAATCTAAGTTCCTATTTCCACTAGTGTTACATAACTGTACACAAAATTAATGCTGATATTAATAATAATTACCTCATCAAATAGATGAGAAAATTCATTTTCAGTAACATCATAGCAAATTATACTTTCTCAAATTATGCATAAGGGAGAAAGTTTGATTTTTATCATAGGTAAGCTAGTGAAGCAGCACTTGTACAGGTCATTGACCTGGGACCCATTCCCAGATGTGATTAATGGCACAATTTGAAGAGCTCATCCATTCCAGAGGTGCTGAGCAGCTTTCAACTCTTAATTTCTACTGCATCCACACTGTAACCTGCTCTCCTCCAAATCAAGGTACAGTCAAAGAAGAGAAACTGGCATTGAAAGGATTAATACCTTTGCAGATGTCTCCTCTTGGGCAAAATACATTGTGACCTTGGAAAGCTAATCAATATCCAATCACTATATATAGATGGGCTAGGTGACTGCTTTATCCAAAGGTAGTCACATCTCTAGAAGGAACTCCACTACCAGGAACCAATTCAAAACCCACTGAAATCACAAAGGGTACTTAGGGACTTGACAGAACTTTGGATCATGTCTTCCCAGGAAAGGCAAGCAAAAAAGTATGAAGAATTAATATTCACTTTTCCAACTACTATCATTTATACAGCTCTGAGTTTGTTGTGCATAATCTTGTTCTCCGGGGGTTTTGGAAGTGATTCCTCACTTTATGTAAGTGTTGAACCCAAGGTATATAAGGCATGGCATGAACAAAGAAATGCAGGCCAGAACATCTTTTGTATTTAAAAGAGGAGCTACTTCAAATTAGAACTGAAGATCAGAGAATCACTTATGTTCATTAAATGTGCTGAAAGAAACCACATCATGTTGACAAAAGTAGAATTATCATAAAAGAGTTAATGAATACATGACCATACACTACAAAGTACCTAGATCAGAAAGTAAAAGCTTTGTGATGAATCTAAGTATCATATCCAAAATAATGAAAACCACAACAGTTGAATTTAAAATTAAATACAAAACATCACCAAAGCAGCATGGGTTTTGGCTTGTTTTGCTAAAGAAAATACAGCACATTTTTCTGATACAGAAACAGTTTTTCTGAAATCATTCATCAGGTATTTCAGAAGTAATCACTGTAAAAAAATTTCAGCATTTCCTTAGGAACTTTGTCAAAGAACTGTGGTACAAGGAAAAAAAGATAAATTCTGAAGAATTTTAAAAATAAATATGTATAATGCATATTCTGTCATTAAATACACGTCTCTGTGCTACAGTAATGTAAAAAGACTACATACCTGCACTGGTTATGGATTCTACCTGGATGAATGCTAATATAGGGTGACACAGTTTTATCCACATAGGATCCAAATCCAAGTCGAAAATCAAGAGAAATATTTTCCATCTTTTTAGATAAAGCAAATCCAACGGAATTTAACTTTTCTATATTGTTGTGCATAGAGGCTGAGACATCAACTAAATAGTAAAGATCCACAGGGTATTTCTCTAAAGGACGAACTTTTAACATAAAGTTTGCTTCACTTCCTGATTAAAAAAAGAAACAAATATGTTTGTTTACTATTTTTGAATGGACATGCTTAAAAATACATTCATTTTTGTAGCAACCTCAGCACAAAGTTGTTTGTGTCAGCAAAGAGAAAAACAAACAAACAAGAAAATCTCCCAAGAGTAAATTAAACCTTGAAGAAGCATTCAAAAATAAGCCATAAAGGGCTGTTTTGGAGAACATCTTGAGTTTTTTTCTTGCAGGAGCACTGTGCAATTTATTGTAAAAATCTGACTTCTCTCCATTTTGTTTTAAATCCATGGTTATGCAATCCCTTTGGCATTATAACAAAAAGCAGTTGTGGTTCACAAAGGACACAGATCTGCATACAAATTGGGGTCAGTCACTTCAAGGTTGTCACTTCAAAGTATGTAAATGTATCCAGCAAATAGTTTGTCATATGACAGAATCTAAAACTACACATCACAAGGACAGCACAGCCTCAAAAATTCACATAAATAATGATACAAGTTTATCCCAAACTGCTCATCAAATCCCAAAGATTTGATGAGAAAACTCTGTGGGATAAAAATATATATATTTTATTAAAATGTTTTAATATAAAAAAAAATCATCTTTTGGTATATACAAAATAGAACTCTTATTTCAAGATGATAGATGTTAATGCTTTAGAAGCTGCTAAAACCAGTCCTCACATTTTTGCTTGTCTAATATTCTGTAATGTCAGCAAAATGACTGAATTGATTTGTATGGGCAGAGTGGGTACAGTAATTCATAGTTTCAAACTAGCCATCATTTTATGTCACCCAAAGTGTGAGCTTACAGCAGAAATGAGTTCAGGATCTTCATGTGATGAGTGGAGAATCTAATCCAGTATTGTGCAATGAAGATACAGCAAAGGACAGGAGGAAGGAAGATGTTACAGAAGAACAATGCAGGTTTTCAATTAAAACTATCAAAAGGTACATCCAGCATAGAGATCTGACTCACAAAATTTAAAGATGCAAAGTACTTTCTTCCAATGGTCTTTGAACATAATCCATCTGAAAATGTCAGGATTTGTCTGTATTAGGTCTTGCATGAGGAAAACAATTTCAGTGTGCTGTAATTTATGTTTCCTCTTTGCCAATGTAAATTGAATTACCTTTTGTAAACGACCCTTGCAGGTCTCCAGTTTGCATAGAGTGAGATACTGAGTGCAGCTTTTATTTTTTTTCCCACATAAATCCTAAATGATGAGTATATGAAAACAGTGACAAACCCCCCCCAGTATCAAAACAAAAACATCTTTGTCTGCATGATTATACTGTAGCAAATGTCTGTTTTGAGAAAAAACTATAGCGGTATATCTGTGTGTTTCCCTGAGGTGGAAAATATGGGCAAGATATCTATGTATAAAAAGTTTTTATTCTGGAGTCCTTGAAATTTCATTCTTTTGCCTCCCTGATGCAAAAACTTCTACAAAGCATAAGGAATTCCAAACCTAATTTCATTATTTACTGAAAAAATGGTTAATGAAACCAAATTTGAGAAAGTTAACTTTTTTTCCTATGAATCCAGTATGCCTTTGGAAATAAATGTGATCACAGACAGGGCTTAGAGGTAGCTCAGTTGCTTGAACCATTTCTTGAAGCAGAGATCAGTCACTTCTTTAGAAGGAGAGTGAAGAAAAGAGAAGTGCTGATGTTACCTTGACTGTTTTATTATTATAAAGTGTGAAAAACAGAGATCCTTTGTGCTTTACACTCACGCAGATCCTTTCTTTTCCCCTTGTAATTGACAGAAAATTATCATTTCTACAGTGAAGATCAGCAAAATACTTCTCCTAAACATTTAATGTTTTTCAGACAAAGACTGATCCCTCTCACATATTTCTTTCTCTTTGCAAAAGAAATAAATTAAATGTTATTGAGTGAAAGATAACCCTGCATCCCTTTATATCACCTTCACTTCTGCTGTTGGCTACAGCTTTTTTAGAGACAGAGAATGAGCACTTAGTTAACTAGACTTAGTTGTGCTGAGGGCAAATGGAGATATACTAGTTATAAAAAAATTCAGGCAGTGAACAGCTAAGTCTTCTTTAGGAATGTAGTCTTTTCTTATATTATGGTTTTGGTATTTTTCTAGTTGCCTAGTCAATGCACTTGAAAGAAGAGAAATAATTAAGAAGTTTATCAAATTATGAATTTAGGGATTATAACTCTATTTTCTTTCAGAAGAAATATATATACACATGTAAGGCAAAACTGTTAGTGTAAGTGGCTAAAAAATCAAGAAACTACAAAAGAAAACAGGAAAGAACACCTAAAATTCCCTTTCCACTTATTACTTGCATTATTCCAAGCTGTGTTTGACAGAAACAACTCTTGGTGAAGATGATACTTGAATATGGGAGCAACACCATCCCAGTTGTACAATACAATGTTATAGCACCATTCTTCCAAATAATTATTCCAGATGCCTCTTCACAAAATATCTGTACTTAGAACTATTGTTTTTATTTTAAATTTATCAATGTGTTAGAGATGACCCAACCTGGACGCAGTTGGACTGAAACTTTTCCTGGTGTCACTTGTGTATTTGTTTCATGGTCACTAGGTATTGTGACATGAACCGTGGGGTTTTCAACCAAATCTGATTGGCAGCCTCTTTTCATTAAGTTGAAAACAGTGTCACAGCGTCCCTTCTGTGTTGTGCCAGCCATGAAATCCTGTTTAATAAGAAAGAAAAAGTACAAAACAATCTGAGCTGAAAAAAAACTGTATAAACTTCAAAGGATGAAGAAAACCAAAATATCGGTCTTTGAAACAATAAAATATGCTACTATAATTGCATAAATTATAGGACAAGTTCATGAAGCCATATGTTTTTAATAATGGCAATGATGCAATATTTAAATTAGAAGTTAAACCTAATTTCACATTGACCCTTTTCTACACAAAAAAAAATTTAAATGAGAAATAGGATCTTGCACAATCAGAACAATCTGACTTTGGAGAAAAAGGCAATTACACACTGTTATTATGTCACTTAAAAAAGTTCTGTGCCGTGCTATGAGCTCATTTTAGCAAGAAAGCATCATTCCCACAACATCAAAAGAGGTTAGTTTTCAGAAGAATCCATTGGTAACGTTACTCAGGCTGATATTTAGTAGGAACACCAGAGGTCAGCTCTAGATTTAGCCAGCTTGAATTTATCTATTTCACTACACAAAATCCAAAGACCTGCTGAACTACATCATTTCAATTCCCGGAAAGAAGAATCCATGTATAATTACAGGAGTGGACAGTTTAGGATGTCACCAACATAAAAAAGCTGTGGTAGCTTTTTTATGATTTTTTAATGAAAAGTGATTAGTAAAAGGATGATGTCAGAAGCAGCCCATCCTTTTCTGAAATGAAAGAGAAAAGTTGTCCAAAATTGTGCCAAAATGATCCAATCCAAAATTCCTTCCTGACCACTAATCTGATGATTAATACGATTCTGAACATGCATGTGTGGGGGGGAAAGACAAGATCTCTTGTAGTCTTTCAAAGTATTGGTCCATCTGAGTCAAAGCTGGAGACCCACCAAACAAAGGACAAGCTGTGATCTTTCAGATGCAAATGGCAAAAACAAGCAATCTAAACTACAGAGAACTGCGTATTAGACAATAAATAGTCATCCAGACCCTGTAAAGACTAGAGAAAGCCCCTGAACAATGAAATATGACAGTCCTATATCTTGTTTTCCTATCTTCAAAGCTTCTTTTTGTAGGCTATCCCAGATATATTTTTTCTATAACCAAACCTATTATTAAAACCAACAGAGACTGCTTTTTAAGTTGCTGCTATTTACATATTCTTTAGTGGATGCTTTTCAAAAAGCTAGATTTTTAAATGCATAAGAATTTAGCTACTCTTGTTACCAGTAATGACTAATAGATTTGTAGTGTTTTCTGAGGTCCACTGTGTGAAGGTATAAATTCAAAGCATTTCAAGAGTTCCTCAGGCCTGATTATCTTATTAAAAAGATTTTTCTCATGAAGCGGGCAGGCTAAGCTGCACTGCAATATTTCCATCTGCAATAACACCAGTTATGCCATTCCATAACCATGGATGGTGTGTAGGTGAGCCAGCTATTTAAGAGGGTTTGAGAAAGCCCTGGTGTCCATGAACAGCTCTCAGGATTGACTTGGGAAGTGATGCAGCACAAGCAGAGCAGAAGTGAAACTGGCCAAGTCCATGTGCCTACTTAGAAGGGGACATAATGCAGCTTCCAAAGCACTGGAGAGTTAGCAAATGCTGTTCTGTAATAAATGCAGATGGAGGAGGATAAAGCTTTGCCCTTTGTAAGACAGGACATGGGGCAATAATAATGAACACTGTAATCCATTGTGCCATCTACACGTGCTAAGCTTCCTCTGGGAAAGCAAGCCCTGCATGCCTCTACCCATCCTTGCATTACTCAGCCTTGTACTTTTGGCAGACTAAGTTAATAATTCCAAGACATAGATATTACCAGCGCATTACTCTCCTTATCTCTGCCAGATACACCCCTTATCTTATAGGTAGGAACTTATCTACCTTCTCTGCTGCTAACCGGAAAGCTACCACTGGTAATTTCCACGTGAACTTAAAGAGCATATGAGCTTGCGATTGCCAGTGATATTCTTCAAAAGCTTGCTCCTCTGAAGTGATTATTCAAAATCATGCTATCAACAGGGTTATGTGTTTTCCGTCAAACAAAAGCAAAAATTCTCATATTCTTACAGCTTGAACAGCAACAATTTCAGAATAATTCTTGCTACCGAAGATCTATCTTCCGTGCCAAGTCTCAGAACTGATAGTTTCCAGTGTCAAAATGAGAAAAGCATCATTTTTTCCATTTGTGATAGGGTCATAATATAGGGTGAAGTTGAAGTCAACTCCACTGTTAGTAGAACCTTTAGCTAAACGCAGTAGACATATATGTATAGACTTGTTTTCATATATGATAAGGACTTAATACAAAGTACTGATAAGTAATTTTGCTTTGGAAGCCAGAAACTGTTAAAATCTCAAAGCAACTGTAAGTCTGCCAAAGCTGTCTACAAAGCAGATGGAATGCATTAGGAAGGTCTCACTTTATTTAAAATTACTGCAATTTTCCAAATAAAAGATTGCATTTTCCCCTTTGGAAACAAAATGTATTTCACATGATTTCTCAGGTTCTGTCTCTAGGGGTCATTTAAAGATTTTCTTGCTATTTCTCACTATAATTTTCTCAGTTTAAAGGTCTTTATCTTTATAAAGATCAGAAGCAGCTAAAATATAAAGTTAAATGTAATTAAGCAAAATGCCATACCTCTTGAGCACACCATCCACACTCTGGACCCAAAGCAAGACACTTTGTGCATGTTACTGCATTTGAAGTGGCACATCTGCTTTCCGCTGCAATGAAATACAAACCCAAACATTCATGATTTAGGATGATATGTGAAATTGTAAAATATCTAATTTTAATCCAACATTTCAAAAATGACTTCTCCAGATTAAGAGTGATGACAATATATTAAAACAGAAGTAGAACATAACAAAGGCACTGTGGCAATGGAACAGAATTTTCTTTTCTCTACAGTCTGGAAATATTTGCACAAATTGAATAAACTCCATTCACAATTAACAAGGCCAAATTTTTAAGATCCTGGTTTAGAATAATTTTGAAGTGCAAGTTTATCTTTGGCATGTATCTCGCTGATTTACTGCCTAAGAGAAAAGAATTTACTAGGTAGCTTATCATTTCACAGACATTTTCCCTTTAAGTCATTTACACTTGACTGAATTATTCATTATTCACTCCTTATGAAACCCAAAGTATTTTCTCACCTTCTATAAATATTCTCCCTCTGCATATTCATTTTTGCAATGAATAGTTTCCCAGAAGAGGAAGATTTTCTTTTCCAGAAGCAAATAGAAATGAATCCAACACTACATGTGTCACAGATTGAAGACACATCATTCTGTACCAACAATTGCAAAAATTGTGCCTACTTACATGTCTACCAGCAAAGTCCTTTATATCCTTTTCACATCTTTGTTTTATAGATCATTGCTTAAGTTACTACTCTTTCCTATGAAACTTTGGCAGTCGGTATGGAGAAGAAGAGTCTTTTTAAGGGACTGGGTCAACTCAGCTAGAATGTCAGCATTAGTATATCCTTTCACCATGTTGAGCACAAGCCTCTTGCAGACCAGTGCACCTCTAAACAAGACAGAGGTCACCTGCTAGGAGTTACATGGAGGGCCCAAAATGCACAGCTCGGTAGTACTGTGTTAAACAACATTGCTTTCTGGCATGTTCAGCATTCCATATTAGAAAATATAAAGGGAGCAAAATAAATTTAATTTCTGCATACAAAGGCTACATATGTTAATTGGTCCATTGTGATAGCGTGCATCATCATATCAAAACAGATTGATGAAGAGTTTGGTTTTCATCCAAAGTTTTGGTGACATGATTGTCTGAGATTATTTCCTTCTAACCTGAAATAATAAAGCAAACCATCTTTCTTTTTAGGCAATGAGACAAACTTCTCATAGTGAGCAGTTGCATTAGGAGAATATGTACTAAAATACCTTTTTTTAAAATTTATTTTGCTGATTTCATCTGTGGATTCTAAGATGAGATCCTGCACCATATAAACACCTAGTATTCAAGAGGTCACTTAGAACGATGGCTGATGCAAGGCACTAATCACAGTTTGCACATTGTTATTATCAACAACACATATACCAGTATTAACAAGCCTAGTGCAGCAAAGCTGCAGCATTATACTGATAATGTGTAGATTAGTGGCAATTTAATTAATTTCAAAGGTCAAACCAACATTTCTATTTCATATCAACCGCTGCTGACAATTTTTTCCATGAAGGCAATGTGAGGAAAAAAAGCATAAATGAAAAGGAGACCTACAGGTATGATATAAACAGTAAGTTGAAAAGCAGCCCAGGAAGGTGCTGGAATGCAGGGAAAACTGATTAAAGGGTGGGAGAGGTTGGTAGGGATAAATAAAGAAGGAGTTGCTAAGGAGAAAGAAAAGAACAAGACAAAATCTGAAGGGATTTTTTTTGTTTCCTTTTGTTATAAAAACAAGCATAGCAAGTTTTACTTGGATGTGAAATGAGAGCAAGCTCATTCAGCACTAACTCAATAAAATTATTTTGTAATTATAAGAAGACAGCAACTGTACTTTATGCAGTTCTAGTTCTGCACTCTGAAAGAGCAGTCCTAGAGGCCATAGAAAATGTTACCTCATACTACAGGAGAGGGGAAAAAGTATGAAGATTTTGGGTAGGTACTGACATGCACAGGGTTGTAGACCTTTTCTAGACAGTATTCATAAAGTGCAAAGAGTCAGAATGAAAAGTTGTTGAAAGAATAAAAATAAAAGGAATGTAATTGTTCTTGGCACACAAACACCCCTCCCATCTTCAACTGGATATCAAAGATAGCAGAGATGAAAGGCGTTACAAGGAAAAGAGAGTGATAAATTCAGTAAAGTGTCAAAGGACAAGGAAAAATATAAGTTGCTGATCTGCAGCCTAATAGTGGTTTTAGGACCACCATGGAGCAAAATACAGAGAAAATTACATGAATTTTGAGGTTACCCGTTCAAGTTAATATTTATTGCAAGAGACAAAGCTGGTCTGATACGAATAAATAGCTGACATGAAAAAATGAGAAACCTGTGTTTCTAGCTATTCAGATACGGAATAAGGAAGATTAATTCCTAGTCAGTGCAATCAGTAAACCAAGTAAGCCAAATAATAAGTATGGCCTAATTAATTTCCTGCAATAATATCTGAGACTCCTTTCTTAAAACATATAATCCTATCTGCAAAACACATACTTTACTTTAAATGCCATTGACCACATAGCACAATATTAACGCCTTTTTTAATATGCACTTCCTAAAAAACCCAACAATATGTGTCTATGTGCCATTTTCCAGATGCACTGGAAAGCTGACTGAAAAATAACTGTCCCAATTTTTTTTTGTATGATTACTTTATTGAATCTATTGAAACTTGATTTAGTTTATTAATACAGCCTGCCCAGTAAAACATAGGGAGGTCTGTGTCTTTCTGACTTTGCAGACTGCTAAGTCAGAAACAATATCTTAAAATCTAGTTTCAGTGTGATCACATTAACAAATGAGATATACAGTACTCCTGGATGCAAAACTCTTTGCTGGTAACTCTCCAGTCTCAAGAGCTCAATTTTCATAACATTAAGTCGCAGATTGGCAATAGAGAAGCCTGGTACCATTGGAACAAAATGTTGAAATTTTATGTTTTTAATAACAAGAAACTTGAAAAAGTTGAATTAATTTCTTTATTTATTATTCTGTCTACATCACTACTCTGGTTCCCAAGTACATAGTCCATAATAACAGTAAAATTTATGGACATGCTTTCATTCATCAAATATTTAGTATTTAGTCGTAAACCTACTAAAATCATAACTGTTGAAGTATAAACTTTTTGGTTGCTTTAAAAAACCATGGTAAAGCAAGAAATATTTTTTTATGAGTTGACTTAAAAAAGAACGGAGATTTTTCCTGCCACTTCACCAAAAACAGAGTCCAGACAAGACTGAGTTACTGTTCAGCCAAAGCTAAGGGCTAGTTTCTACTGGCTCAGTTTGAACTGATGTATGCCAAAAGGTATTTTCGACAAGGGCCAAATTCTGCGCTGGGAACTGCACAGGCATATGCATATAATAAAAAGTGCATCAGGTTAAACTACACTTTTCCAGCCTACTCCACAAAATTACAACCATGCTCCAACAACTGCAGCTATTTACAGTGATCACAGGTGTGGCAAGCCTAGACTCTCTGCAACAAGAGGGATCAAGGCAAGACAAATATCCTATATGTTATAATTATATCCTGCCTCCTTATTATGAAAGTAACCTTATCACAATCAGGGTATTTATCTCAGAGATGAAATAGCAATAAAGCACTCTGGCGTCTCAGAGGGGATGTTAAACAGGTTTTCAAACAGACAGCACTTTGTTCAAGTACAGCCAAGAATTTGGATTTGTATCAGCTTCACAGTTGGTACATGCTTGTGCTGGCTTTGGAGGGTGTACCACTTGCTTTCTTAAAAGAGAAAGCCAAAATATAGCTTGCAGCTTTTGCTCCCTGATCATGGCCCTCAAACTGGTGAACACTCATTGAGGCAAGCAGATAGGAAAATATCCAGCTTCCACAGAGCTGGTTTTCCTTCAATTGTGCATCTAATCTTGTTCTAGGGCAGCCATCAGCCAGGCTATCCCCCTGTACAGATAATGAATGAGGCCTTCACTAACTCATGTATAGCCTAATTTATGAGGAAAGCTGCAGCTTTCATACAGTATACCGCAGTTACTTTCACTTTTCTGTCTTCAGAGCAGAGCAGCATGACCCTGCAGAGGGGACAGGCAGTGGCCATCCCACCTAACACATGGCTTCCCCACTCGCTCTGGCTGAGCAGGCAGGTGCAATGAAAACATACCTTAAAAACACACTATGACATCACCAGATTTTCCAATAAGATTACAAGGTATACCTCAAAATCAGCTTTAAGAGGTACTCAACCTTGCCCAGGAAAGGAGATCTCAACTTGAATACTGTACACTTTTTATGCTTTATAACAAAATTCTAAGATTACTTCAAAAGAATACCAAACAACTTTTCTTTCCTCTCCCATTTTTTCAATTACATAAGGCATTTGCTAATTTGTTTCATTTCGTCATTAACTTTTGGGCACTTTAGTTTCACTATTGAGACAGAAAGAATCTAAGCTGCACACTGATTTTAAAATGTTTTTTGCCAGTAACAAAAGAAGCAGTAAACTAAAACTCTGAATGGCAGAGGACATGTCTTTGCTATGAAAATAAAGATGTATAAAAGAAAGGTGAAAAACACTATTAAATTCTGAGCTCTCAAAAAATACTTCTGTAAATCTGGCACATGAGTAAAACACCTTTCCAAACAAACAAACAAGATAAAAACCCCTCCAAACCAAACTAATCAACTTTTAAAGTGTTCCTAATAGGAAAAATGGAACTGGAAGAGATAAATCATAATGTGGTTACAGAAATGGTAAGAGGCAGAGGTGAGAATCGAGTAAGTCTTTGCACATCGAAATAAATGCAATGAAAATAATCACTAGTGAACAAGTCCTCATAACTGATAGGGACTTCCCATTCCTAACTCTGCCATTATACCCCCCCGCCACACCGAGAGTTTTGAGGTTCCCAAATTAATCTGCATTACCTTATGAAGAAAGCACCTTTTAAACATGAGGGTCATTAGTTACAGCTACACAGGTGATTTACAAAGCCATTAAAATGCAAAGTCATGCAGAAGTCTGCCCTGCATGAATTTGTGCCTTTGCAAAGCACG